TTCCATAATTTAAGGTTTTTTGCTTTGAAATTATCAGGGACCTCGATCATATCCTTAATAACCTCTCTCAACATGTGAACGGTCTCACTCTTATTTATCTTAACTTCGAAAGCAGAACCTGGACTATCACCGTAAATTAGACAAAAGAGTCTAATCTGCGACCTAGTATTTGGTGACATGAAAAAAAATTATCAAAGTAGATCAAAAGCGATTTTTTGTCACACACGGTCAAATGCATTGTGAAATTGTGGCTTATATATCGACTAGCGGTTCAACACCAGGTCTCATAGATATGGATTAACCTTTCCTCTTTTGGAAAAACTTTCTGATAATTAGGTTTGATTTTACCAACTACCCCCAAAAAAGCACTGGTCACGTGATGATGTTTTTGTTGTCATCGGTATCACATCCTGGTGTGTTTTCATTTTTTATAAGTATTTCGGGTTCAGGAGGGACCGTCTCAAATAAGGAGAACGGTTACACTATTCAAATTTTTTTTTTTATACATTTTACAGTACATTTTTGATGCACTGCTCTGCAATATATTTCTTTAATCTCTGTTAATCTCACGTCTTTATATTGTTATTAGCTGTTAAAGATATGTCTGAGACGAAGAAATGTACAGAATGCCAAACTGTTGAGTCGGCTAAATTTCATTTGTTAAAGGGAGAAAAATGGAAGGAAGTTGAGAATAATAATTTAGCAAAGGTAACATGGAATAAAGGTATTCTCTTATGTAACATATGCTATATGCATTTTGTAGAAAATCTTTGAAAAAAGGCCGTAAGAGAGTAAAAACCATGGATGAACAAGTTACAGGTGAAAATATTATGACCAAGGAGGTAAGTATGAAGGTTGACTTTACAGGAGCTATTAAGGCGATAGCAAAGATACTTTATGATAGAGAATATTTCAAGAAAGAAAAATCCATATATTCGTTTGATGAAATGCGAAGGATATTTCAAGAAATCGAACTGAGTTTGAAGGATTTTTTCGACCAGCTCTATTTGGCGGCTCGACTACTTGAACGTAACGAACAAATGATGGATCATATGAAAAAATTGATGCTTTTTATATATTATCTTCTAGCATCACTAAATAATACAAAAATTAACTCTTTTAAATTTGATCTTAGATTTTATTTAGATTCAGTAGATACGAGCAATAAAAGTCTGAATATAATGGCTAATCTTGACGTGTCTACAACATTGAGATTGATAGATTAAAAAAAATATCTGATACGCATAGGGAATATGTAGAGAAGGCTCTTGCAAAACATTCAGAGAATTTGTTTGTTCTAAATATAGATAATTATTATAATATTCATATTCAGAGACGACCTGATACTATCAGTACGTCTTAGGTGACGCATATGGTAACAATTATGGTGAATTCATATCCAATTCCTACAATACTGCAAAGTGGAGTAATTAATTCAAGGATCGTTGATGCCGAATTGATCACTAGGCATCTTGAAGAACGATTCATCGTAAACTTTGGAGTTTTATATTATGATCGCAGGCAGGATAGTGTAGGAGTAAATTCCTCTGATAATGAGGTTATTGACAGCTTGATAATTCACAGTTAGAGTTCCGAATGAATCGAGTCGAGTCGAGTTTAAAGATCAACTCGACTCGACTCTCTTTTTTCGAGTCGAGTCGAGTCAAATTTATTTTAT